TATATTTCCCAATGCTGGTGAGACCTATGGGACTGTTCTTCTATTTAAAATAGTTTGCCTTGGGAGCTCTAGCATGATAAAGAGAATTCTAGACCTTCTCTTGGGTATGCTGCCTTGTATCATTCAAAACATCTTTAATGTGGGACAACATTCAGTTTTGCACTTCACTTGCTTTAAAGGAGCCATTTCTGGGTTTTTTTCCCCCTCATGTAGAACCACTTTATACATTACTTTTTAGCTTCTTCATACAACCATCTCTTGAGGGGTTCAGACACTGATGTTTTTATTTACTGATACAATTTTCATTTCATGTTCTTTCCATATAGCACCTTGTCCAAATGTGGCCATGCTGTGGTTGCAACCCTCTACCCATTTACCTGGCAACACACTTACATCCCTGTCCTGCCAGCCTCCATGATAGATATTGTTTGTTCGCCTACTCCTTTTCTTATTGGCATCCTCTCCTGCTCCTTAACACATCTCCAGGACCTGCCTATAGAAGAGGTGAGATCTGTGAAACCAGAATGCAGAGCATTTTTACTATGCTGTATCTAATGACTGTATAACTTACTTACTTTTAAAAACATGATAATTCATCTTTAAGGTCAAAGACACACATTGATATTGTGCTGGTTTGCCTTTTTAAATGTGAGACTGGTAATTGTCCAAAGGCTATTCCCACAACTAATTAAAGCAGAATTCTGAAAGACTTGCTTTCTCTGTTGAGTGTTCAGGTAGCTGTATCCAGCCAGTTATTAAGCCTATAAGAGTTTTCTCTTAATTTCTTCACAGGGGCTGAATTTAAATTAATGCTATGAAATAGTAAACTTGTTGCATTCCAAATTGTTAATACTTAATGAGAACAGCAGAAATTTAATACAAGAGTAGCCCTGTGGTCAGCTGTTAACATTTCATGCAATTGAAAGGGGGGCAAGGAGTTGCTTGAAGCAACTGAAGATTTGCATTAATTGTATGCCTCTTCCTTTTCTTAGGTACTGATCGTTGATCTCTGTGCTGATAAGTTTCTGCAAAAGGTGAATAAAATAATAGGTCCTACTAGCATCTGCTTTGCCATAGGAAATAGCAGCACCAAGCTGCCGTGACAGTATTTGGCCCAACCCCAAAAAGCTAAGAATGATCTGACCTGGTTAATATTTGGATGAGAAACTGCTAGAGCTGTAAATTAGACTGGAAAGTTGGGGGGGGGGGGGAGGAAATCCCAGAAGAAGGAAATGTCAAATCTCTGTTGCCAAGAAAACTGTATAGATGTGTCCATGTAGTCCTTAGTTGAGCTCAGCCCCAAGGAAGTCTATTTCTACATTAAAGAAAGCAAATATGTTGCAGTTTGAGTTACAAGAAAAGTTTAATTAAAGCAAGCTGGCTAGGCTCTCCCGTGAACTGTGATTTATTTTTAAATATGTTTAGTTTAGAACACAGTTGAGAACAATTACAGTATATCCTGTTTTGATTGATGTAAAACCACCAAGCAGATCTAGATTTCTGCTATTGGTGGTAGGGGTGGGTGGCAGTGTATAAACCTATTCCCAGAACAGTGAACTGTCTGAATATGTCATTATGCTACATGCCAGGCTTAACTTAATATTTTTATTTTAATTGATATAGCAATGGAAGAGCTGAATTAGAAGCACAACACAAGTGTAAATTTATTTAAGCTTTTCCACTCACATTATACTGTTATCAACTCCAACCCTATGCTGCAATATGCCAATAACAAGGTTCATCCCAAAGGTGCTTTTTCCAAAGGCAATTGGATTTTGTTTTGTAAGGCACAGAAAGGAAGGTTCATCCTTCCTTTCTGTGCCTTGATTCATCTAATTGGTTCAGCTGCTGTTTAGAAATAGTCATATCACACAGAAGGCCAAATCATACATGCCGTTTATCATAGAGCAAGGCACTTAGGAAAACCTCCAATGGACTTCTCCCCCTCTACTTCCCTTCATTGTCTAGACACATGTGGGTTTTTTGTTTACTTTCAGTTTTTTGTTCCTTAAAATAATGTCATGATGTACTTGCTGGTGACCATTGTCTGCTGTTGACCAAAGTGCTGCTTTTGCAAGACAAACAAATAACAGACTGACCAATTGCTCATTGTCTTATTCTGCAAAGCAGAAGTTAAAAAGGTGTTGAGTTGTGTTGTTCTAGTGCAGGGGTAGGCAACCTTGGCTCTTTTATGACTCGTGGACTTCAACTCCCAGAATTCCTGAGTCAGCATGGCTCAGCTTGGAAACCTCTCCCTTTCCCCTCAGCATGGCTGGCTCAGGAATTCTGGGAGTTGAAGTCCACGAGTCATAAAAGAGCCAAGGTTGCCTACCCCTGTTCTAGCGGATTGTCTGAACCCTTTGTTAATTTTAGTATCAGGATGCTTGCAAAAAATCCCTCCCTATGCAGTTTCTAATACAGAAAGTATTATGAAGGAAGGCAAAAAAAGAGAAAGTATTATGTTGTCAACTTCCACGTTTTTATACTGGTAATTTATATATAGGCCCTGTTGTAAATCAACTTACATGTATATATGGCTAATTTTATTTACACTTTATAACATGTGACCGAATCATGCATCTATACACTGACACTGAAGTTATTTCATAGAGTTGTTGGTACTGATGCTTAATACAGTTCACCCCATTATCTTTTCTCTGTCTCCTCCATTATTTTATTTCAAAGGTTTCAGATGAGGATGAAATTCTACCTCACAAGCTTCAGGCTGCACTTGTACAAATCTTAGAAGAAAGGAATGAAATCTTGTTTCAGGAACGCTGCTACACACAAGGTGACGTTGGTTGAAAAATAATTTTGCCCCTAACCTTGCTTAGACAAATAGATGTATTTCTGCTCTGAATGAATCCATGATGGGGTGAAAAAATAGCAAGAATGAAGTCCAGCTAATGTTCCCCCCCCCCCAAATACTGTAACTTTTATACATATGCTTACATCTTCAATTTGAAAAAAATGGCCTTGTACACTAATAGCTTCTTGTCCATTGCAGCACTTCCTGGATTGACTGTGTAATGCTGCATCTCTTTCTGCAGGTGATGTGACACTGGACTCTCTAGTATCAGAGGCTTTTGTGCGCTTTTTTGTGGAAATTGTGGGACACTATTCTTTGCACATGCATGTCACTGAGAAAGGAGAGAGAGTATTCCAGCGGGAGCCCTTCCGGAAGTCCCATACGTCCCGTAGTGTGCGCCATTTCCTAGATATCTTCATGGAGACACAGATGTTTGCTGGTTTCATCCAGGACCGAGAGCTGCGGAAGAGTGGGGTAAAAGGTGAGCTGTTTGTGTAGAACAAAAATAGTACAAATTCAGGATGACATTCTCTTTACAAGTATCTGCTGCCTTTCTGCTGGGAAGTTGAAGGTACCAATGTCCTCAAACCATTCGTTGTTTTGAATTTTAGTTTAGTAGGTTTTTAGCTTGGAAACTGAATGTTTATTGCTGCCATAAGCCAAAGCACTTTTATAACTAGACATAGAAGACTACAATGATTTAACAGTTTAATAAGGACAAATACCTCTTGCTTTTAAAAGATTCTGCTGGTTGCACTAGAAATATCTATTTTCAAAGTTCCAGCCCTTGCCAACTTAAAAATATCTAGAACAGGGCTTTTCAACCGGTGGTACACGTACCACTTGTACATTAATGAGTGGCAGGTGATATGCAGCCCTGCCTAGGCAAGTGTGGTGGGGAAGGGAAAGAGCCAGCACAGGCAAGGACTTACTGTGAGAGAGTCCTCTGGAGCTGCAGAGTAGCTGGGGCGAGGCAAAGGCCCCAGGCTCACTTCTGGCTCACCCTCCCCCATGAGAAAGGAAGAGGAGGGGAGCGGAGACAGGAGAGGCTATAAAAGGAGGCAGTTTGGGCGGGAGAGGGAGAGAGAAAAAAAGCAGCAGCCTTGGGAGGAGAAGGAGTCAGCTCTAGCTACACAGAAGGAAAAGAAGAAGAAGGAGGAGGGAGGGGGGAGAGGAGATCAAGCAGGCCGATCTACACGAGGACGTGGACAGGGTCTTGGGGAGGCTGAATGCAACCACATGTTTATTAGATCCGTGTCCCTCCTGGCTGGTACTGGCAGCTCGGGAGGGTACACGAGCCTGGTTCCAGGGAATTATTAACGCTTCTTTGCAGGAGGGTGTCTTCCCTGCGGCCTTAAAGGAGGCCGTTGTGAGGCCCCTCCTCAAGAAGCCTTCC